GACCTCCTATCCACAATTGACCCTGCATAATCAACATCAGTATAGGCTTCAAGCTTCACATTACCATTCCTTTTGAATAGAGTCCGTCTTCCTGGAGTTCTTTTAAGGTACTGTAAAATTCTGTGGGCTGCTTGTAAATGGGTCTCCTTTGGGTTATGCATAAATTGGCTAATTAAACTCCCTGCATAGACAATATCTGGCCTGGTATGCGACAAATATATAAGTCTGCCCACTAATCACTGGTACATATCTTTTTCAACAACATCTTCTTCTGCATTTCCAAGCTTTAGGTTTGGTTCTAATGGGGTACAACAGGTTTGCAAGCTGCCTTGCCAATTTCCTTGAGCAAATCAGTGATGTATTTCTCCCTTTCTTGGAGTGGGCAACTTCAATTCCCAAAAAATATTTGTTTTCCCAAGGTCTTGATCTCAAATTCCTTGCCTAAGCATTGGCTCAAGAATTGTTGCTCTTCTTTATTATCTTCAGTTAATATTATGTCATCCACTTACACGAATAATATTGTTACTCCCCCTGACTTAGAATGTTTAAAGAACAAAGTATGGTCCCCTTGGCTTTTTTTGTAACCCAGGCCTGTCATAACTTTAGTAAACCTGTCAAACCATGCACGGGGGGACTGTTTTAGCCCATATAATGTCTTTTTCAACTTGCAAACAATGTTGGCAACATCTCTACCATATCCCGGAGGTATCTCCATATAAATTTATTCTTCAAGGTCTCCATGTAGGAAAACATTCTTAACATCAAATTGTTCCAAGTTCCAACCATAATTGGCAGCAAGGGACAATATCACCTTAATTGTGTTCATTTTGGCAACCGGAGCAAAGGTCTCCAAATAATCAACTTCATAGGTTTGGGTGAACCCTTTGGCAACTAGTCTTGCCTTATATCTCTCAATTGATCTATCAACCTTGTATTTCACTGTATAGACCCACTTACATCCAACTGACTTCTTTCCTTTTGGTAAGGTGACTAACTCCCAGGTGTTGTTCTTCTCCAATGCCTCCATCTCTACATCCATGGCTTGCCTCCATTTTCTGTCAGACAATGCCTCAGATAGGGTATTAGGTAGAAGTGCAGTGTTTAGGTTTAATAGGAAGGTTTTATGGGTAGGAGAGAAATTTTTAAAGGACAGATAATTTGAGAGAGGGTAGAGTGGCTGTTTGGTGCATTTTCTTGTCCCTTTTCTAATGGCAATTGGGAGGTCGGGATCATTTTGGGTTTCAATTCCAACCTGCACAGTTGGAGAAAAAATTGTTAACTCTTTTTGTAGAGTCGAGTTGGATTCTTGAACATGGCTTGATCCTGGAATGACCTTAGTCTTCCTTGAGTACACCAGCTTCTTACCAAATTTTCCAGCTTCAACATCTCCTTGATCAACTTCACAATTAATTTCACTTTCTTGACCAACTTCCTTTTCTTGACCAATTCCTTGACTTATTTCTCTTGTTACAACTTCAATTTGATCTCGTTTAGGTTTACTTGATATTCAAAAGTAGAGAAAAAGTGTTTTTAGAGGGCTTGAAGAACCCCTCTCATAGTTCTCTATTTATATAGATAAAAACTGATACAATAGGGAGATTACATTAAATGCACAGTCCTATATTACTCTTCAGAACTAGGTGCAGAGATTATCTAACACTCAACCCCCTGCAGACATTATCTAACACTCAACCTCCTACCTTAGGTATAATGATTACATATATTTTCTAATCTATTCCAACAGGTTCAAATATCAAGTCTGGAAGAATGGAAAAACCAAAATTACTACTTTCCTTATCTTCCGTGAAACTCTCTCCCTGAAGATAAGGTTGATGGAAATAACCTTCTTGTTCATTGAAGGTAACATCCCTAGACACAGAGAATTTTTTGGATGGGGGGGTGGGTGAGTAACCAACAAAGACACACTTTAAGGCTCTAGGATCAAGTTTCCCCCTGTTTGTACTATGAATATGGACATATGAGATTCACCCAAAAACTCCTGGTTTAAGATTATTTGTAGTGGACAGATTTGGATAGAAAGACGTCAAAGCTTCCATAGGGCTTTTTGATCCTAAGACTCTAGAGGGTAGTCTATTGATAAGGTATGTTGCTGTAAGGACAACTTCCCTCAGAAATTTTTTTGGGACACTTTTTTGGAACAACAATGCCCGAGTCTGATTTAATAGATGTTCAGTTTTCCTCTCTACGACCCCATTCTGCTGTGGTTTTTTGACACAAGAGAACTTATGAATTATACCTTTTTGACAAAAAGAATTAAGGACATGATTGAAGTAATCTTTGGCATTATCTGACCTAAGCCTCTTAATATTAACACCAAACTGATTTTTTTGAGTGGAAGTTTAGGAAGACAGAACTGACTTCTGATTTTTGCTTAAATAGGAAAACCCAAGTGACCCTTGTACAGTGATCTATAAAGGTGACAAACCATCGAGCATCAGACACATTTGGAACATTAGAAGGTCCCCATACATTAGTATGAACAAGATAAAAAGAGAAATTGTTAATTCTATTACTTATTAGAAAAGATACACGCTTGTGTTTAGCAAGTTCACACACCTCACAATGAAGACTTTCAACATCTAACTTGGTAAACAGAGAGGGAAACATAATTTTGATCACTCCAAAAAAGGGATGTCCCAACCGACAATGATAAAACATGCTTTTTTCTCTGTTGGTCATCAAGGATTTAGATATGAAGGAGTGAGAGATTCTGTTCTTGTTGGACAGACTTGGATCTTCGAGATAATAAAGGCCATTCCATTCTCTAGCATGTCCAATCATCCTCCCCGAATCCTTGTCCTGAAATACACAATGATCGTTGAAAAAAACAACTTTACATGACAAATCCTTTATAAGTTTTTGTATAGAGACTAGGTTGGTGGACAACTTTGGTACATGGAGAACATTTTTTAAGGTTATTAAAGGATTGATTTGGATATTTCTTTGACCAGCTACAATTATATGGGTTCCATCTGCTGTGGCAATTTTCTTGTTGCTGGGACATGGGGAATATGAGGAGAAGTGTTTGGCTAATGGTGTCATGTGGTCTGTGGCTCTAGAGTCCAATATCCAATAATGGTTAAAAGGTGTATCTGAGACATTTAATCCAAAAGAAAGTGGAAACTTACCTGAGTATGCCAAAGAACACACACCTGTAGGTTTTTCCAGCTTACTAAGAAAGGTTCTCACCCTTTCTATCTTCTCTTGGTTAAGATGGGCAGCAACTTCTGGATTATTTCTTTCATTTGTTTCAGCAGCAACATAAACTTGTCCTCCTTTCCTTAAGGAGCCTCCTCTATATCCCCCTTCTCGATCTTGATTTAAAGGTTTCCCATGTAACTTCCAACACTTCTCTCGGGTATGACGAGGCTTATTGCAGTAGGTAACCAGAGACCATCACCTTTCTTCTCCACATTTGCTGATCCTCCTTTCTTCTGTTCGGCTACCCCCTTTCTATTCAACACTGTACGAACAAGTTGGGTCCACTTCAAATAATTTCTTCCATTTAGTCTATATGCAGAATGAATATTCTGTTGTTCTCCAGATTGCTGGGATTGGGTATTCCCTGTTTCTGGGGTTGGGTTTACAGCTTCCTCTTCCCTTGACATTATAGCAAGAAGGTGCGATGCAACAACAATGCAGGTTGACGTCTTAGGGTTAAGAAAAATGCAGTAGTAATGCAGACTGTCGTCTTAGGGTTAAGAAAAATATAGCAGCAATACTGGCTGCCGTCTTAGAATTTATAATGCGCAGACAGAACTTCCTAGATTGAAAGCTCTGATACCATCTGGAAAATTAGATTAAATGAAATCTTATTTTATTATTTTAATACAAAGAAATCATACAAGATATATACAGGAGACCTAAGCTATTTTAGGAAATATAATAATTCTATTTTATTATAGGATCCCGTGATTTATTGGATTGTTCCTAATTGTTCAAATTTGTACAGATTACAAATTTCCTAATTTATTCTTTCCTAAAATACTATTTGATTTCCCACAAAATCCATTGCCAAGCTATGGTTCATAGAGGCAATGAAGTTTAATGTTAAAGGCTCACCTAGCAAACTAAACTTCCAAGTTCTAATGCCATTGATGTTCCAACCATCTTCATTATCAAATTTGGGTTCAACAATGATATTTGATTCTTAATATGGAAATCTGAATTTGAAAAAAGATGATATTTGGTTCATATCGAACTTCAACTTCCTATTTGATTAACTCTACAATTGGGTTGTAAAGAAATTGATCTTCACTGCCCACAATATTCACACTCTTTATTGATGCAGTAGCATCCTCCTCTATCATAATGTTTGCTTCTCTTGCTAATTTCTCTTCATTTTTGGTTTCTTCTCCACTATCAAGGGTGTGATTCTTGACTATTAAGCCTTGTTTACTTCTATTTTCTGATTTCAAGAATTGAAATGGATTATCATCATACTCAAAAACTTTTTGAATCAGATTCCCCTTCTATGCTTCCATCAAATGTGGGTAGTTCCACCTTTCTTGTCCAAGAACCAGTCTCTGCTAGAATGCATTTTGATCCACTTCCTTCCACGTTATTTTTTTCTTGCTCAATCAAATGTGGATCACCTTTCATTCAATATCTTGTGTAACATGTGTTTGAGCTCTAAAACGTTTGTTCTCTCTTTCAAGAATACTGTAGAAGTATCCATTTCTTTGCTACAAGTTTCCATCTCAGTTTGTTATTCTTGTTTCATAGCAGTTGATATTTCAAAGATGTGGTTACGATAGGTATCTTCAAATCTTTTTATTGAAGCTGTTGAAAATGATTCCCAATCTGATTCTGGGTTATCTTGGCACCAATAATAGAACCAAGGCATTGTTGCACCCTCCATGCTCATGAAAGCATATTGTAGCTTTTGGAATGAATCAATTTCTTGCACCTCAAAGAATTTTATAACCGTAGTAATCCAACTAATTGGATCTTACCCAAACAACACGTGCAACTTCCCCATGGCCCAAATTTGTGCTTCCTCCATCTCTAACACTGGCTCTCCCTCCAATATACAACAGGTCAGACCAATTTGTTAGAAACCAAGAATTGAAAAGAAAAAAAAAAAGAAAGATTTGTATTGAATAGAATGAAAAGAACAAGAAATAGGAGAACACTCTCTTCTCCAAGGGTTTTCCCTTTACTAAGGATTTCTCCTTTCAATAAGAGCTAATGCTCAATTTACAAAAAAAATGAATTTCCTTCTCCTATCCTTCTTACCCTATTTATATCTAAATAACACATCAAACTACTAACTCATTAATATTCTAACTATCTTACTAACTTCTCCTTCACCTTATACCCTTACAGATTCTAATGTGATGATTGTATTCATCTTCATTAAATCACTAACCATTATTGTTTTATTGGGTTTTTTAACCTGATTTAAGAAACACCGGTCATAATTTCTTACTATTATGTTGTATGTGTGAGGAACCTATTTTTGACAAGCTGTAATTTAATGAAAGTGCAGAATTAGCTTGTCACTCCTGAATTCTTCTTTTTATGTGTTCTATACAGTAATTCAATTTTCATTTGTATCTGTTCAGTGGCTTACCAAAAATATCAATAAGAAAGTGGAGAAGTGTATTTTGCCTAATGGAACGATTCTTTTAGGTATTGATATTATATTCATTCAAACATTTAACTTCTACATATTATTATATGGTGAATGCTACAATGTTAGTGCAGATAAGACATCTATGACAAGCATTTCAACTACATCTCCAAAGATTGTTTATCCTGATACTTCAAAGATGGTGATCTATGATCCGAAGCATACTCCTGGTACATAACCCATCCATTTCAAAATTTTATTACCTTTTGGTAATAAGCTTCTTCATGATTTTACAGGAATGATGTGGGTTTAATCCCATGAATTAAAATAAACTCTCTCCAAAGTATGTTTTCATCTTTGTTTCTCCAACAAATAAGTCTTCACTTCATTTAACTTTTATGTTTTATTTTTAAATTGGGTTTAATTGAAACATTAAATAAATGATGTGGTGACTTTTTATTGGAGGGAACATGGAATGGAGATAGGCTTTTTGGATACAAGTGATTTCTAATTCTATTCTAATCCCACCCACGCACATGCCGATGTATTATAATTTGAGAAATCCTTAAGTAAGGAAAGAGAGGGATAAGAACCCAAGGAAACCCCATAATATTCAGGTCTCTACCGTAGCACAACCCTAAAGAACCAACATCTCAGTAATTTTTATTTTTGTCACTTTATTTGTTGCTACTTCACTCAACTCTTTTGTTGATTAGAACCCTCCACCAATATATAGCCCTTTTTTAGACACTAACAATCAACTTTGATGCCGATTTATCAGCACCCTAGCACTTGGGGATCCAACCGTTAAAAACAAGCTATTAGGGGGAGAACCAAACACTTAAATAATTCCTCGAGCATCCTAAACTACTCATTATGGTCCTTAGTCATCCCATAATACTGAAGTCATTATCATACAGAAATAAAATTCTTGATACATATTACTAAATGATTTTGCCAAGTTTCCGTACATTAAAATCTAATTTAATCTTTAACATCTCCCTCAAGTTGGAGAATATATATATACTATTTAGAGGAGAGAAACCAACAAGGCATATAATAAATGTTCATTTAGACCATAATAGAGCTATTCAATTTATAGGGGAGAGAACATAATTATAGAATATTCAATTATCCTATTTTAGGCTAATAACATAAATATAGAATCAATGATTCTAATATTATCAACTAATCTTAATATCATCAATTATTATATCTACAAGGTTTTAACATATCTGCAAGATTCAAACATTCACCAAATTTGTTACAAATACAAATCATGTGAGACCCCTAAAGAGATTTTGTGAACATGTATGCTAGTTGGTCATAGGAGCTGACGAAGTTAGTAGTGATTCTGCTAATAGAACTTTTTTAATACAAAATGGCAATCAAACTTTGTATGTTTAGTCTTTCATGGAAGACTGTATTAGATGACATGGAAGTAGAGCATGAACCTAGTCATGACACATGAACATAAAATGTTCAGGTGCAATGAGGGTCATCAAGTCATGGAAAATCTCTCACATGATATCAAATTCTGTTCTAACTATTGTTGTTGGACTTATCAAACTACCTCAGGCTATTATTGGACTAATTGCAATTGTGTAGTCTTTCAAACTTCATGCTGGAGAAATGCAGTCCTTGGTGTGGGGTATATGTTGAAGATCATCAACTAATATTGTATAAGTGATTGCATATTACCTTAAGTGCAAAATTTGATGACCAAACCTAACAGTCTTTCCTGAAACAACTTGGTGAATTGGACTACTTTCACGGTTTTGTGGTGAAACACACCACCTCAAGTTACATGATGTTTTCTCAAGTCAAGTATATCATGATTTGCTTCACATGGCTGACACGGCCACTTTCAAAGGCATTTGAACTCCTTTGCTTGCAAATCTAAAAGTATCTCATCAGGGGTCAAATTACTTGAAGGACCTTGGGCTCTATGGATTTATTGTTTTTGCCTTACAGTATGCTACTACCCGTAGACCTAAAACTGGATATGTTGTGAGCAAAGTTTGTCAGTTGATGTCACATCCCCTACAACCTCACTGGACAACAGTTAAATGTATGCCTCCTTCTAGCTGCCTCCCAACCCAAGTGCTTTTTGTGATGCTGATTGGGAAGAACCTTGAAAATACTCCAATTTCCTGTCTCAATTCTTGGGCAGAATCTATTCTATTGGTTACAACAAAAGCTAAAACACTTCAGCTAATACCCAATAACATTTACTTTATTAACTTAGGCTAATATGCAACCACGAATTGAGCTATTTGCTATTGGTTCATTATCAGATTTCTCAAAGATATCTAGACTTACAAACTTCGAGATGTCTAGTCCTCAGCATGTGAGGGAAAGGGGGTCAGAGTGTTGGGGATCAAACATTTTCTAGAAATATAACCAAAATAGATCATATGACCAAAACCCACCTTACGACTTGGTTTTGTAATTTTTGAATTAGGGCCAAACTCAAATTCTATGATCTTTCAACATCTTATTATTTCCGTGATTGTTTGATAAGCACCCCATCACTTGAGGAACCCACCCCTTAAAAGCTAGCCATCAAGGGGGGGACAACCAAACACTTAAATACTCCCATTGAGGATACCAATCTACTCGAGGTGGGATTTAAGCACCTTATAATGCCCAAATTCCAATTATTTCATTTTCCTCATTGAAACAATTATGCAAAATGGTAGCTACTTAATTTTTCAATGTGCAACTACACCTGCACTGCTGACCTTGCCTTATCAATTGCCAGTTGCAGGTTCTGGAACAAATGCATTTGATGAAATTCTGAAAGCTACACCACCTGCTTTGGTAGCATTTTTGGCAAATCTACCAGCAGTTGAAGGTACTTTCCAAATTTCTGTCGAATTATTTCTTATCCATATACTGTACATATTTTCTGCAATTTTATATGCAATCTGTCAGCATTTGTTGAAAAGCCAACTAGGATGAGTTTTACTTATTCACTAGCCAATATGAAGAGGTAGTTTATGTTAATTCTCCTTTTTTCTTCTTTGGTTCATGTTAATTCTCCTTTTTTCTTCTTTGGTTCTTAATTTATTTCTTCTTTCATTTGTAGTGTCTAATTTCCCTAAAAATATTGTAATTACCAAGCTCGAGCAATGCATTTCAGGAATTCTGCAACCTGGAGCTTTTCATTCTTAGTTTGTCAATTCATAGTGCTATCTACTAAAACTGCCACTGAAATTTTATCTGCAGGATTTTATTTTATAAGTTTGAATGAATCTTGTATACACTCTCCTGGTTTGTCAAAATGGTTTTTAAAATAACATTATAGTTTTGATGGATTACTGAATGGTGGAAGCTAAGTGCTTGGTTAGGAAAATAGTTATATACTAACCTATTTTTCTGCGCTTGCTACCACAACTACATCTGTTTCTTCTTGATTATTTGTATCTAAATGCAGCTAAAAAATATGTTTTGAAATTTACAGGCCCAACACCAAATGTAGATATCGTGCTATCAATTTGTTTACAGAGTGATCTACCAACAGGACAAAGTGCAAAAACAGGGATTCCACCTGGGAAAGCAGGGATTCAATCACAGTTGCCAGCAGGTTCTGCTCCTGCTACAAGTGAACTTTCTGGCTCCAGCAAGTCTCACCCTGTTCCAAGTGGTGTATCTTTGAAACCAGGCAGTAATAGACAATATGGGAAAAGGAAGGAATCAGACAGTATGTGCATCTCATGCTTATATATTCTTGTTTTTTCTTTTTAATTGATATATATGTGCAATTTTACTGATTTACAGTTGTGTGCAATCAGAAAGTTGTTTTTTCTTTTGGATTTCCAATTGTCTAATTTAATGTCCAAAATTTGTCTTGACTTGCATTGAGATACTTTTCTTTAATTTCCAGTCCTTTTTTTGATATATGTTCCTAGGATTAGGGTTAGGGTTTGGGCTAAGGCCTAACCTCCTTTTTTTACTCTCTCTCATATATAAATATAACAGTACCAGTGTCGATTGACATGGTCTTTGAATCCTAAACAGTTATCTCAAGTTGGTATAAGAACAGGGAAGATCCCATATTGATTTTCTTTTCACTAGTCATCTCCCACCAACTAGGGTCGTCGTTTGGACCACCAATGCAGCTCGGACCGGCAAAGCTAGGGTTTGGTGCTCCTCGAGGAACACAACCCAACTCCATAAGTCATGACGTGATTCGCTTCCACACATGCCCTCTCGTGCCACTCCAAGTGCAATCTATCTTAGGCGGGTGAGTTCCACACGTCGCCTTCTAGATTCGCATCATGTCACCACCACTCAACTCGATTGTGTGTTTTGCCTCCATTACTGTCCTTGGTTCTCTTGTTGGAGGTCCTTTGGCACAAGGTCCTATATCTCTCTCCTCTTAGGTTTTTTCCCTTTCTTATTCTCTATTTGAGATGTCTATAGCAAGCTCCTTTTCCTTTTTAGCCACTCCTACTATTACTAGTGCCAAGCTCAATTGGAAAAATTATTTATCTTGGTCTACCTATGTGGAATTGTGGTTCCTATGTCAAGGGTACCATGACCATTTGGAGACTTTGAAAGACCTAGTGGCAGAAGATAGATTTTCAACTCTGTACAATATTATGACAATATGTTGAATTGGAGGTTTTAGAAATTCTCATGTCATTCAAGATTTGCTCTTATTTTTTGGAAAAAACACAAAATATCTTTGCTAACTATATCCAATGTCTCTTTGATGCAACTCAAAGAGTAACCTCTCTCAAACAGACCAACCACGATATGGTATCATATGTTACAAATGCTAGGGCTACTATGGAAGAAGTGAAAAGGTTTCTAGTGGCAAGCATCTTGGAAGAACTTAATAAGAAATTTGATAAGTTGTATATGGTTCTGATTTTGATCTTGTGTGTGATCAAATCTTGGCTGGTGACCAGGTTCCTTCAATGGACAATTTATTCACTAGACCTATTCGTGTACCCAACTTGATGAAGGATGAGAGTCAGAGTGGAGCTATTGAAACTTTCGTAATGGTTATGCTTCGGGGAGGATGCAAATTGCTAGACAATGGGTCACTCAAGAAAATTGTTATTCCTTACATGAATTTCCTAACAATGTTTTTCATATTTCTTGATAGATTCACACGATTTATATTTACGAGATACGTATTAATGAGATGTATCTATTTATGAGTTGTATCTTTTAGATGTTAATCTTTACATCTCCCCTCTAATCAATGTATCTCTACAACCTTCCATGATAAATTTGAGGTGATTTGGGTTGTGGAGACACCAAAATATTATAATATCTCTCTTTTTTTCCTCTCAAGTTGCTATCAGAGCAGGTTTATCCTTCTAGTTCTATTCGGCTCGCTGCCAGTCGTCGGCCATTGCTAGTTGCTGCTGGTCGTTTTGGTTACTGTCAGTCACTGCTGGTCGTTTTTGTCACTATTAGTCACAGCTGGCCCCTGCCACCGTCGTTCGCTGTTGTTGCTACCCGCAGTCCGTTTAGGGGTTCCTCTATCTATTTTTCTCTGTTGTGTTAAGGTTTGTAAGCAAGATTTTATAGGTAGGAGACAATTTTTTAAAGGATAGGAAATTTGATAGAGAGTAAAGTGCTTGTTGGGTGCATTCCCTTTCTAAGGGTAATGGGGAGGTCAAGATTTTTGTCCACGTGTACTTCCGAAATTTCAGTAGCAAACTCATTAGAGTTATTTATAAGATTAGAAGATGTTACCTCATGTAATGATGGTAGATCGGATTATTGGACCGAAGATGGCATGCGATTGATAAAATAACATGCAGTAAGAACAAATCACCCCAAAAATGTTTCAACAAGATTTCTCTATTCTTGTGCTTAGGCACCCCATTTTGTTTAGGTGTATAAGCACATGAAGTTTGATGAAGAATGTCATGAGAAGTCTGTTAGATATTGTTTAGATATTGTTTAAATATTGTTTAGATATTGTTTGATGTTATTAAGATATTGTTAGATATTGTTAATCACAATATCAAACAATATCTTCTATTTACTCTAAATATTTTTTAGTTATTATTTTTAGTTGTACCTCTCTCTATTATAAATAGATTACCCTATGTGTGATTTTTACACAAGGGAAATTAATCTCAAATCCTATTTTCTCTATATTCAACATGGTATCTAGAGCTTAAGGTTATTTTGAAATTTTTTCGCCTTTGTCCATTGCCACCACCGTCGCTGCTGCCTGAGCCGTCGCCACTGTCGGAGTCGTTGTTGCTGCCATCGCCAGAGCCTTCACCGGAGCCATCGCTGGAGCCTTCACCGGAGTCGTCGATGAAGTTTCATTTTTGACCAGCGACATATGGTTTTGCTTGTCTTGGTCAGGCGACCACCATACAGTTGAGATCACCACTGTCGAAGTTGGTCGTTTATTATCTCCAGTGCTGTTTAGTCTAGACGGACATGTTTTGGTCTTCTCGTTTTGGATCTGTGCTTCGTGGGTTGATTGGACTACTTTGGATTTTTTTAGGGTTTGTTCTACCTCCCTTCATGACTTCTTCCGCTCTTTCTACTACTTCCAATTCTGTCAGTACTGCATCTGATCCTTACGTCTACACTAACTATGTTAATGTGCACTTATTCATTAACAAGTTAACTGACCTTAACTATGCCACATGGTCATCAGACTTCAGTTATGGCTTAAGAGTCAGAGATATCTTGATCATCTTGTCTCGAAAACACCTACTCTCACTCTTGCTGAGGAAGACCGTTGGAACACTATTGATGCTCAATTATGTGTGGTTCTCAAGGGTACTCTGGATCCTTCGTTAAAGTAGATTTTTCATTCCTACGAAACGTGTGCTAAAATCTGGGAACATGCCAAGTTATATTATACAACAATGATACCCAACGTCTCTATGGTGTTTATTCTAAATTTGTAAATCTTATTGCCTCTAAACATCAAGACTCTATGACTGATTATATGGGCAAAATTCATGCTCATTTTCATGAATTCAATGAGTTATTGCCTCTTTCTCCCGACCCTGCTACCGAGATAGCACAATGATGAAAGTTCTTCATTCTTGGGGCATTACACGGACTTGCTGATCAATATTCACATCTGTGATCAGATTTTGGGTTCCACAGTTGTCCCCACCTTGACTTCGACCTGCTCTACTCTTTTGCGTGTACCAGCAAAACCAAACCCTGATACACCTGCTTCTGTTAATGATTCTTTTGCGTTGGCATCTCACCGTGATGACCGGACTCGCCATTGCAAATAGGTCAAATGGCGTCCTAAGTGTGAACATTGTGGTAAGCTAGGTCACAAGATTGACCAGTGTTATGCATTACATGAGTGTGAACATTGTGCAAACTAGGTCACAAGCTTGATAAATGTTATTCATTACATGGTCCTCCCCCTCGATCTGTTGCAGTTGTTCAGACCGATCTTTCCCCACCTTTCTTTGCTAGGGATCCTCCTTCTGTTTCATTCGACACACCTGCTATGTTCAACAAATTTCTCAAATGTTATAAGGATCAACAGTCTTCTAGTTCCACTGCGTCTGTCGCACGCACAGGTACATCTTTTGCTGGTCTGACCCAATCTTCTTCACCTCATAATTGAGTTTTTGATTCAGGAGCAATTGATCATTTTATTGGTAACAAATCTTTGTTCTCCTCTTTATCTTCTCCATCCAATCCTGTTAACACTCCTATTACATTTAATGTTTCTGTTGTTTGTGACCCTCTAGCTGTGTCTTCTTCACCATTAGTTCCTACTCCGCAGTCAGTTTCTTCTCCACCGCCCCTTCAGGTTTATAGTCGCCAAAACTGATCACAACCACCACCATGTGACTCCACTCAAGTGCCAATTACTCTGTCTCCTCTGGCTCTGACACCTGAGTTTAACCTTCCCATTGTCCTCCGAAAATGTATTTGCTCTACATGTAATCCCTCTCCCCATTACATTACTGAGTTATCATCTACTGTCATTCCCTTTTTATACATGTCTTTCCTCTATTTCTTGTGTGACCATTTCAAAAATTTTCCGTGAAGCTTTAGCCTATCCTGGTTGGCGTCAGGCCATGACAAATGAACTAAGTGCTTTTCATAATAGTAGAACTTGGAAATTGGTCCCGTTACCATCTGAGAAATCTTTTGTTGGTTGTAGGTGGGTGTTTGCTATCAAAGTTGGACCTGATGGTACTATTGATTGTCTCAAAGCACGTCTTGTAGCCAAATGTTATATTCAAATTTTTGGGTTAGATTATGGAGATACTTTTTCCCCCATGGCAAAGATGGCTTCTGTTCGTTTATTTATCACCATGACTACTCTTTAACAATGACCTCTTTATCAACTGGATGTTAAAAATGCTTTTCTCAATGATGATTGGCAAGAGGAAATCTATATGGAGCAACCTCCTGAGTTTGTTGCTCTGGGGGAGTCTTCTGGGATGGTATATCGTCTTTGCAAATCCCTATATGGCCTAAAACAGTCTCCTAGGGCCTAATTTAGAAAGTTTAGCAATGTTGTTCATAAATTTGGTATGACTCGGTGTGAAGCAGATCATTCTGTATTTTATCGACACTCGAGTGCTGGATGTGTTTACTTGATAGTATATGTTGATGACATCGTTCTTACAGGTAGTGACAACCATGACATCTCTCAGTTGAAACATCTCTGTCACCATTTTCAGACCAAAGATCTTGGCAAACTCAGATATTTCTTGGGTATTGAGGTGACACAGTCTAATGATGGTATTGTTATATCTCAGAGGAAGTATGTCATGGATATTTTGGAGGAAATTGAGTTGATGAGTTCAAAGTCTGTTGATACACCCATGAATCCGAATATTAAACTTCTACCAAATCAGGGGGAGCCTATGTCTAATCCTGAACAGTATAGAAGATTGGTTGGGAAATTGAATTATCTTATAGTTACTCGTCCTTACATTTCCTTTGTAGTCAGTGTGGTAAGCCATTTCTTAATTCCCCATGTGAAGATCATTGAAATGCAGTCATTCGTATCTTAAAGTATATTAAAGGATCTCCTAGAAAAGGATTGTTATATGGTTCTAATAACCATACAAGAGTTGTTTGCTACTCAGATGCTGATTGGGCAGGATCTCCTGATAAAAGATCCACATCTGGGTATTATGTCTCCATTGGTAATAACTTGATTTTGTGGAAAAGTAAGAAACAAAGTGTTGTGGCAAGATCCAATGCAGAAGCATAATATAGAGCTATGATCTCAGCTACCTATGAACTTATTTGACTCAAGCAATTACTTAGAGAGTTACAATTTGGAGATGTCACTCAAATGACACTTGTGTGTGACAATTAGACTACTCTTCATATTAACTCTAATCCTGTCTTTCATGAGAGTACCAAACACATTGAGATTGATTGTCATTTCGTTTGGGAAAAATGTCTGAAGACATCAAGCGGCAGTGGTTGCATAGTCGAGATGAGCTGAACAATGTGGTTGCGAGTCTTAACTGTGAATTGGGCGACAACGGTGGCTCTGACAATAGAGGCGGTTCTTATGGCGACTCTTGCAACGGTGACATCTTCGGCTACAGTGACGGCTTCGGCTCCATAGGTGGCAGCACGTGCAGGAGTAGCAGTGGTGATAGTGAAAAAAAAAACCTAAGTTCTAGATACCATGTTGAATATAGTGAAAAACTAGATATATGGTTAATTTTCCTTGTTTTCAAATACACATACGGTAATATATTTATAATTAAGAGTCATACAAGTAAATATGGTAAATATATATTGTGACTAATAATATTTACCCTATCTAAAATATCTAACACATGTAAATGTAATCATTGATTTTTAGGACCATTGAATTCTAGAACCTGCCATGATCATAGAGTCTTCATCATCCCATGATTTGAACTTGGCATCCGTTTCATCAGGGGCATTATTAGTCAAGTGACTGCCTTTTCCTTCTCCCTTCAATATGGTCTCAATGAGTTGAGACCATTTAAAGATAATTTCTTCTAGTTAATTGGTAAGCAGAATGAATATTCTACAATTCTCTAGAAATCTGAATTTTTCACCTATTTCAGGATCGAAATTCACAACCTCTGCCATGGTGAGATCAAGGCTGCGATAAGTAATGAAGACAGCAATGAAGGTTGCAACTTAGGGTTTTAGGCATGGTCAGAGGCTCCTAGGATCAAGAGCTCTCTGATACCATCTCAAATTTAGAAGGAATAATATTTTTCATGTATCAAATTATGAGGTCATTGGACCTATATGTACATGAGCATGATGGCTATCTTAGGAAATATTGACAGCTAATTCTAGGGAGACAAATCCCTATGATTACGTGATTTATTCTAAATACATAATCCTAGCATTAATAACAATAAGATAAAGAATAAAAATACAATTAAGGATAAAATATAAATTTTCCTAAAATACACAATATGTAGCATGATTTTGACAATTTCTGATGAAGATTACAAAAAAAAATTCAGGTTCAAAATTGAAAAATTTAATAATTAGGGCCAATCTTTGTTAATGCCAAGTGTTTCAATGTGTATCAATCAGAATCCATAGATTCTTGATTCAGGTGCCTCTAATCATATCCTTGGTAATTGTTCTTCATTTTCCTTCATATTTTATCCTAAAATTATTCATTTGGTTACTATGGCTAATGGTTCTAGAGTGACATCTTAAGGAGTTAGCCAAGTTCCTTTATCCCTTTCACTAAATTTAAATTTTATTCTTTTCATTCCTAATTGTCCTTATAATATGATTTCTTTTAGTCAATTGACTTGCTCTGTATAAATCTCTTCATCAAGGTCACTATGAAGAAAAACATTCTTAATGTCAAGTTGGTAAAGTGGCCAACGACAAATAATAGTCACAACAACTAAGAGCCGAATGATAAAAATCATAGCTACAAGAGAAAATGTATCACAATAGTGAAACCATAAATCTAACTATACCGTTTAGCTAGTAAGTGAGCTTTAAGAAGATCCACTTTAGAATTAGGACGAACCTTAATTGCATAGACCCATCTACAACACACAGTCTTCTTGCCAAGAGGAAGAACAAGTTCCTAAGTGCCATTATGGTCAAGAACCTATATTTCATCAATCATGGCTTGTCGTCGTACAACACACAGTCTTCTTGCCAAGAGGAAGAACAAGTTCCTAAGTGCCATTATGGTCAAGAACCTATATTTCATCAATCATGGCTTGTCGTCTTTCAGGATGATCAAGTGTCTCATGAACAATATTAGGAATAAAAGTAGTGCATAAGGAAAAAACAAAAGAAGAATATAAAGAAGACAATCAATGGTAACTCAAAAAATTACAAAAAGGATAAGGATTACGAGTGGAACGAATAGCTTTTCTGAGAGCAATAGGTCAATCAGAACCAAAATCAAAAGTGGAGGATGAGGGTGAAAGATCCATGGTATGAGAATCTGGTGGAGGAGAATCGGAATCATGAGGATCGTCAAGTACAGGTAAGGAAGTAGTTTGGACCCTATGCTAATATGTAAGAAGAGGAAGTGGATCAATGTTATCGGCAGTTGGAGGTGGAGAAGGGGCATGTATTTATTAAAAGTAGATCACATGAGGGTACATGGAGAGCATGTTGATAAGAGTAATATTTTCCATGGACAATGAAAAGAAAGTGTATTCTCAAATAAGGTAACATCAACTGACATATAATACCTTTTTTAGTTGAAAAAGAATAAAATTTACACCCTTTTTGAAGATGAAAATACCCCAAGAAAACACATTTAATGGCTTTTGCACTGAGTTTATCAAGACCTAAAGCGACATTATGAACAAAATAGATACATCCAAATACATGGGGGGAGACATGGTAAAGAGGATCATTTGGAAAAATAACAAAGTGAGGAATTTGATTCTTAAGAGAAGAAGAAGGCATCCTATTAATTAGAAAACTTCAATTGACAGTGGCAACTAGCGATGGATGACGATCCTAGGTGGCCAGAGATGACAACGACACAAGAAAATCAGTGTGGGATACTTGTTTTGATATAAACTTGAGAGAAATGTTTAAGGGAAAAAGACAATGATTTGACGAGACTATTACTGTCATATTTATATATGAGAGAGAATACAAAAGGAGGTTGGGCCTTAGCCAAAACCCTAATCCTAACCCTACGAACAAACATTAGAAAAAATAGAAATAGAACATATTTTAATAAGCTTGACTAAACATCCTATTGCTCATGGAAGGAGCAAGCATATTAAGATAAAATTTCACTTTTGAAGGGATCAAGTCAACAAAGGGAAGCTCAAAATAAAATATTGTAGTATGAATGAAAAAGTGGTTGATATTTTGACAAAGAATCTCAAGGTTGAAGAGAGATGATAAAAGTACAATCTATTGCTAATCTAAATTAAGGGAGAGTGTTGTAGATAATTTAGTCAGTATTGTTAGATATTGTTTAGATATTATTTGATATTGTTAAGATATTGTTAGATATTGTTAATCACAATATCAAACAATATCTTTTGTTTATTCTATTACTTTCAGTTACTCTTTTAGTTGTGTCTCTCTACTATAAATAGACTACCCTATGTGTGATTTATATATAAGGGAGATTAATCTCAAACTCTATTTTCTTCTATATTTAACATGGTATCTAGAGCGTAAGGTTATTTTGAAATTTTTTTTTTTGCCTTTGACCACTATTAGAGCCGCCACCACCGCCGCTATCGCTGTTGGTTAAACTGATCTTCCACATCAGAAAAATGTTATTTTTGTTACTGGATATTATTTGGTAGTGTGAAAGTGCATGTCTAGGAAGGTTCTGACAAGGAAAGACTTGGTATTTAAGTGTGTCCATTAGTGACCCACCTCTCTTTCCTGGGAACTTACCTGGTGTACTGGTTCACACGCCGCTGTCACTATCGCATCCGTCGCCTCCGCTCTTTATGACTTCTTCTGCTCCTTTTAGTACTTCCAATTCTGTCAATACTGTGTCTGATCCTTCCATTTACACTAACTATGTTAATGTGCACTTATCCATTGACAAGTTAACTGGACCTAATTATGCCACATGGTCATCAGACGTCAGATTATGACTTAAGAGTCAAAAATATCTTGATCATCTTGCCCCCGAAAGCACCTACTCTCACTCCTGATGAGGAAGACCGTTGAGACACCATTGATGCTCAATTATGTGTGGTTCTCAAGGGTATTCTTGATCCTTCGTTAAAACAAATTTTTCGTTCCTACAAAACATGTGTCAAAATTTGGGAACATGCCAAGTTATTGTACACCAATGATACTCAACGTCTCTATGATGTCTGTTCTAAATTTGTAGATGTTATTTCCTCTAAACATCAAGATTCTATGACTGATTATATGGGCAAAATTCATGCTCTTTTTCATGAGTTCAATGAGTTATTGCCTCCTTCCCCCGACCCTGTCACCGAGATAGCACAACGATCAAAGTTCTTCATCCTAGGGGCATTACACGGACTTGCTGATCAATATTCACATATTCGTGATCAGATTTTGGGTTCTCCGGTTGTCCCCACCTTGACATCGACCTGCTCCACTCTTTTGCGTATACCAACAAAACCCAACCCTGACACACCTGCTTCTATTAATGATTCTTCTGCATTGGTATCTCACCATGATGACCGAACTCACCCTCGCAAACAGGGAAAAGGGCGTTCTAAGTGTGAACATTGTGACAAGCTAGGTCACAAGATTGACCAGTGTTATGCATTACATGAGTGTGAACATTGTAACAAGCTAGGTCGCAAGATTGATAAGTGTTATGCATTACATGGTCGTCCTCCTCGATCTGCTGCAGTTGCTCAGACTGATCTTTCCCCACCTTTATCTGCTAAGGATCCTCCTTCTTCTATTTCATCAGACACACCTGCTATGTTCAACAAATTTCTCAAATGGTATAAGGATCAACAGTCTTCTAGTTCCACTGTGTCTGTCGCACACACAAGTACATCTTTTGCTGGTCTGACCCAATCTTCTTCTGGTCCTTGGGTTTTTGATTCAGGAGCCACTGATCATATTACTGGTAACAAATCTTTGTTCTCCTCTTTATCCTCTCCTGATCCTTTACCTTTTGTTACACTGGCTAATGGCTCTAGAGTATTATCTCATGGTGTTGGAACTGTTAAACTTTTTTCTTTTTTAACCATTGATAATGTTCTTTATGTCTCTGGGTCTCCTTTTAACATGTTATCCATCAGTTGTCTAACTCGTTCTCTTGATTGTGTTGTTTCTTTTACCAACAATTCTGTGTGTTTACAGGACCCGAGTTCGAAATAGATGATTGGCACATGATGTGAGTCTCATGGTCTTTATCATCTTCGTTCTCTTACACATGTTGGTGCAGTTATAAAGTCTCCCTCTCTTCTCCATGCTCAGTTAGGTCATCCAAGTCTTGCCAAGTTATAGCAACTTGTCCCTGTCTTATCTAAATTGTCTAGTTTGGCATGTGAGTCGTGTCAATTAGGCAAGCATAGTCGTATTTCCTTTCCTCGTAGTGTCACACGTGGTGATTCGTCCCCTTTTGCCGTGGTTCACTTTGACATTTGGGGACCTAGCCACGTTAAGTCTACTTTAGGTTTTCAAAACTTTGTTACTTTCATTGATGATTATTCCAGATGCACTTAGTTATTTTTTATGAAAAATCGTTCTGAATTATTTCATATCTTTCAAACTTTTTTCAATGAAATTCAAACTCAATTTGGTGTTTCTATTAGAGTTTTGCGCAGTGATAGTGATCATGAATATCTTTCTCGTTCTTTTAAACAATTCATGACTTCTCATGGTATTTTGCATCAAACTTCTTGTGCTTATACACCTCAACAAAATGGTGTAGCTGAACGTAAAAATAGACATCTTATTGAAATAACTCGCACTCTTTTAATTCATGGAGAGGTTCCTCAGCATTTTTGGGGTGATGCTCTTCTTACTACATGTTATCTCGTTAATCGCATGTCATCTTCGGTTTTAGATAATAAAATACCTCATTCCATTTTATTCCCTCATGAACCACTTCATCCCTTACCTCTAAGTTTTCAGGTCTACATGTTTTGTTCATAATTTCAGTTCTGGTCTTGACAAGCTTTCTCCTAGATCACATAAATGTGTTTTCTTAGGGTTTACAAGATCACAAAAAGGATACAAATGTTTTTCTCCTTCTCTTAACCATTATTTTGTGTCAGCAGATGTCACCTTTGATAAGTTCTTTTTTTATTTTAAAAGTCAATCTTCACCTCTGTCTCCATCCAATCTTGTCAACACTCCTAGTACATTTAATGTTCCTGTTGTTTGTGACCCTCTAATTGTGTCTTCTTCACCATTAGTTTCTGCTCCGCAGTCAGCTTCTTCTTCACTGCCTCTTTAGGTTTATAGTTGCCGAAACCAATCACAACCACCACCATGTGACTCTACTCAAGTGCCAACTACTCTGTCTCCTCTGGATGTGACACTTGAGTCTGACCTTCCCATTGCCCTCCGAAAAGGTATCCATTCTACACGTAATCCCTCTCCCCATTATATTGGTTTGAGTTATCATCGACTGTCATTACCTTTTTATACATGTCTTTCCTCTCTTTCTTCTGTGACCATTCCAAAAACTGTCCGTGAAGCTTTAGCTCATCCTGGTTGGCGTCAGGCCATGTTAGATGAACTAAGTGCTCTTCATAATAGTGGAACTTGGGAATTGGTCTCGTTACCATCTGGAAAATCTGTTATTGGTTGCAGGTGGGTGTTTGCTATCAAAGTTGGACCTAATGGTACTATTGATCGCCTCAAAGCTCGTCTTGTGGCCAAAGGTTATACTCAAATTTTGGGTTGGATTATGGAGATACCTTTTCCCCTGTGGCAAAGATGACTTCTGTTCGTTTATTTATCGTCATGGCAGCTCTTCAACAATGGCCTCTTTATCAATTAGTTGTTAAAAATGTTTTCCTCAATGGTGATTTGCAAGAAGAAATCTATATGGAGCAACCTCCTGGGTTTGTTGCTTAGGGGAGTCTTCTGGTATGGTATGTCGTCTTCGCAAATCCCTATATGGCCTAAAACAGTCTCCTAGGACCTGGTTTGGAAAGTTTAGCAAGGTTGTTCAACAATTTGGTATGACTCGGTGTGAAGCAGATCACTCTGTCTTTTATCGACACTCAAGTGCTGAATGTGTTTACTTGATAGTATATGTTGATGACATCGTTCTTACAGGTAGTGACAACCATGACATCTCTCAGTTAAAACAACATCTCTGTCACCATTTTCAGACCAAAGATCTTGGCAAACTTAGATATTTCTTGGGTATTGAGGTGGCACAGTCCAATGATGGTATTGTTATATCTCAGAGGAAGTATGTCATGGATATTTTGGAGGAAACTGGGTTGATGAATTCAAAGTCTGTTGATACACCCATGGATCCCAATATTAAACTTCTACCAAATCAGGGAGAGCTTATACCTGATCCTGAGCAGTATAGAAGATTGGTTGGAAAATTGAATTATCTTACAGTTACTCGTCCTGACATTTCCTTTGCAGTCAGTGTAGTAAGTCAATTTCTTAATTCCCCATGTGAAAATCATTGGAATGCAGTCATTCGTATCTTAAAGTATATTAAAGGATCTTCTGGAAAAGAATTGTTATATGATTCTAATACAAGAGTTGTTTGCTACTCAGATGCTGATTGGGCAGGATCTCCTTCGGATAGAAGATCTACATCTGGATATTGTGTCTCCATTGGTGGTAACTTGGTCTCATGGAAAAGTAAGAAACAGAGTGTTGTGGCAAGATCTAGTGCAGAAGTAGAATATAGAGCTATGGCCTCAGCTACCTGTGAACTTGTTTGGCTCAAGCAATTGCTTAGAGAGTTACAATTTGGAGATGTCACCCAAATGTCACTTGAGCGTGACAATCAGGCTGCTCTTCATATTAGTTCTAATCCTGTCTTTCATGAGAGGACCAAACACATTGAGATTGACTGTCATTTCATTCAAGAAAAGATTATGTCTGGAGACATCAAGACTGAGTTTGTTAACTCAAGTGATTAGTTAACAGATATTTTTACTAAATCTTTACGGGGTCTTAGAATTGATTATATTTGTAACAAGCTTGACACATACGATTTGTATGCTCCAGCTTGAGGGGGAGTGTTAGATATTGTTTAGATATTATTTTATATTGTTAAGATATTGTTAGATATTGTTAATCACAATATCAAACAATATCTTCTGTTTATTTTGTTACTTTCCGTTACTCTTTTAGTTGTATCTCTCTACTATAAATAGACTACTCTATGTGTGATTTATACATAAGGGAGATTAATCTCAAACTCTATTTTGATCTATATTCAACAGTATGGTAGTGTCAACAATCTCATTTTATTACTTATTTATTTAGAAGATTACAGTTAAAGAGTGTGAAATATCCCTGATTCATAGGAATCCAATTATTTAAGTGTTGTTATTGTATTTCCTAATTTAGCTTCCTAATCTTGTATATATGACTAATGTATTCCAGCGATAAAAATTATTCAATTCTATCCTAATATTTGAAAAAATGAGATGAGATATTATTTAGTTTTATCTTTTATGCATATGTGTGCACATGTGTAGTGTTACATTCAACATGGTATTAGAACTTTCATAACTCTAGAAGCCACCTCCCACTGCGAAGCTAAAACCCTAAACGACAGCCTTCATTGCTGCCACTCATCCCAAAACCCTAGACAACAGACTTCATTGCTGCCACTCATCCCAAAACCCTAATCGGCAACCTTCGTTGTTGTCTTAATTTAACCTCATTCCTTACACCTTGTTTTATTGCTGCCATGGTGGATTTAGCTGATACAACAATTGAAATAGGGGATAATAAATCCCAAATTCATGGAGAACTTCAAAAAGAAGACATCATAAGAAAGAGAGGACAGACACACATAGCTGGAGGGTCGTTGGAGGGTGGGATGTATCATTGGGGGTGGTATTTGTCAGTGGGACAGACTATAGAAAGGGAGGTATAGCCGCAGCCAAAGGAGTTGGCACTGGTTCGTGATAGTGTTCACACGAAGATGGCAGACTGCGGTGAATAAAATAGAGCGAAGGGAAAGGGAACCTTAGCTCTTGTGCATAAATTTAACCCTGTATATAGTTCACAATACAAGTAACTCTAAACTACCAAGAAGTAATTTTACCTAAATACTTGTTATAAATTGCAGCTGTCCTAGTCTTCTTAATATTTGAATACTTGCACTGTTAGCTTTCTTTATGTTTCTACATCAAACTTATGCTCCCCCTCCTGCTGATATTTGTTATGGTAAAATTGTTTAGGGCAAGAGGATGATGATACTACCACTGTCCAAAGTCAACCTCTTCCACGAGATGCTTTCCGGATACGACAGTATCAGAAAGCTCGAGCCAGCAGTGCATCCCAAACAGGATCAGTTTCATATGGAAGTGCATTTTCTGGAGATTTATCTGGCAGTACCGGTTGATGAAATATTTTTAAACCATTTCTTGGAGGCCATTTAAAAAAAGAAAAAAAGACACTTTCAATGAGCTCATATAGCACTCTCCCTTTTTATATAGACTTATAGATAAGTTATGAACATAATGTATATACAGGTTCCTGCCTCGGCCATAATCATGTTCCCTACAAAGTTATCTGACAAGGCAAAAGGACTACAATCTTTGCATGAGGATTAGCACATCACAAGGAGCATGGACTTGCATGGAAGAATGATACTTGTCTGTAAAGTGTTGAAATAGAGATTGATCTTCTAAAACTATTTTTCCCATGGAGGAATGTAAACATTTTAACTATATCTTTTAAGATAAGATTTATTTCATAAAATTTTATTTTGCTATATAATTGAAGATGCAAGGAACCCGGTTTGCCTACTGAAGGATTGAAGTTTCAGTATCATGATTTTACAATCTTTGGATATTATAATTTGTGCCAAACTGTGATTGTCAGAGTGGTAGGATGTGGATGATTCGGATCACATCCCATCACTTCATTGTCAGGAATGAGTGTTGTCCTTAGTTAAAGAACCCTGACTTCTAAAATCACAAGACATTAGAATAAAAGGAAGAAGAAAGAAATATAGAGGGAATAAGTTAAATCTATTATTGTATTGAAAAATTTATTACTTTATGTTACAAGAAGCTCTTATACACATCCAACCGTCAGAGTGACAATTATACTAACCATAACCAGCTAAGACTAACGAGTAAAAGTACTCATTCGCAATCTGAGTAATGCAGTATTTGGACTGGTTGTGTTTTATTTGGGTGTTGAGAAATTCGGAGCAAGTTTTTAAATTGTGGCAGTCGAAAACCACCAGTAATGTTTTAGCTAAACTGCAAGTCACATTTTGAAGGTTTTAGATTGTAAAAAAGAATAGCTTCAATCACCACAACTTATATAATTTATAATTACATCTTGCAAAGTTAGAGACCAATATGACATATTTTTAGAAATGGAGGACCAAATGCCAAAGAGTATTATTAAGTGTGAGATTAGTGAGATTAAAGACGAACTTTTATCTATTTAAAACATGTGTTTAACCATTCTTTATAAGTTTTTTTCTTTAAATTTTAATAAAATTGATTTTGATAAAATTAATTTAAATTGTATGTAATTACTTTATGTTCTCATTTTCACTCATACTAAACAATTGTAAATAAATTTAGTTTATTATGCTTTATATTTGTGGAACTCTCATGTTACCATGAGAATGTCTCATTTCTTCTTATCATTTGTACATATGACATTTTATATATATTTTTTTAATAATACACACAAGAGTATTTTAGGCATTGAAATTCAATAAGTATCTTTGTTTTTCTTCTACATTCTAAAGACTCAATGAATGATACATATATGATTACTAGACTCATTATTAGGAAGATGTAGTTTCTATTCTTGACCACGATCTACAACAAGATTAAAAAAATGTTATTATTTGTTATTCATGGTAATTAAATTTTTAACATTTAAATAATGATGGTCTATCTTTCATCAAGTCCGACAAACAATTAACTCTAGAAGCTTAACTTTAATACTAACTAAAAACACATGTTATCGCTACAAAATGGGAGAATTTTAAAAGAGTTCTTAAAAATATTTTTTACTTAGTCAAGTCACTTGATCAATTAATAAAGATGTTGCTTGACAATGTTAAAAGATTAGATGAGAATATATAATCTGATAATATATTTTCACTAGACAACTTAAAGAGTGTTTATTAAATTTTTACAATAATTTTATAATAGTTTAAAGACGTTCTTTCGAAATTTATAAATTGTAAATAAGATGAGTAAATAAATAAGTCAATAAAGAATGTAATTTTTTCAACTACACTGAACTCATTCATAGTTACATAATTGTATGTCACTTTTAGTTAAGATAAATACATCAAACCACTTCTAGTTAAGACTAGTACACCATGTCACATGTGGTTATTAACCTAACCACTACTTGATACTAAAAACACAAATATTATTTATTATTACTCTTAATGAAAATAAATAATCACACGATAATATTTTATTAAGAGGATAAATAGTATACACTCCTAAATGTTTAACTTGATTGGTGCATGTTACCTAGAAACAATAGTCAAGTATCTTGATTTCTTCTGATTTTTTTTTTTTCGCGTGAGATTTCACTTATGGTATGTCTTGATATAAGTTGTTTTATAATTTAAATAGTTTCCATGTGAGGGTTGATTCTCATCATAATGTTCATCACTATTTTTCATGTTTCCATTTACGCACAAAAGACATTGAATAAAATCTCCTTTTTCGTATCTTGATCATACCTTGTTTTACTTATATTCTTCTTGTAATAGAAGGTCTTGATATTCTCCAATAATCTTATGCCATTACTTTCTTTGTACAATACTTGACTTTACTTTATTCACATTGAAGAGTTATGCAGTGATATTACAAGTTTTTTCTTTAAGTGGAAATAAACATCATATTTTTGTTCACATAGAAATAATCATTGAATAACCTATTTAGGACATTATGTTATATGCTTCACATTCTCTCTTTGCATATTTCCAATAGTAGAGTATATATTCATTTCATAATATTATTTATGAATTTTCATACCGTTGCATAAATATATGTAGTTTAAATATTTATTCATTCATTATTAAAGATACTTTAAATGGGCTTATTAAAATTAGTTAGTCAAGCACACAACGGTAAAAGACTAATTGATCAACATTATATCAGTTGGTCCATAGTTCATTGAAATCATATGATTAATTATAGTAAAAATTCATTAAACCATCTTCCGAACGTGACAATAACTACAATTAATTATAAAAGGACTTTATCAAACAATTTATATAATTGGACTATTGACTTATTTTTATTCATTTTTTATCACACATTTTACCACCATGTTAAATACTCAAAATCCTAATCATATTTGAAGACAAAGCACAAATTGGGGATTGAGAGGTTAATCACAAAACTAGGGATCTAGTGGTGAGGATGAGATTGGGACACGTGAGGACTCTATTAAGGGAGGCACGAATTTGGAGAGCATATGTTCGAAACACATTTGAGAGATATAATCAAATCTTATAATTTTAAGCATTATACCTATTTCTCACCAAATTGATATTTCTAGAAAAAATTATATTAGAATATTTAGTTTTGAATGTACTCTTAACATAAGTCTCATTTTGAAAAGATTTAAGTCTCATCACTCAATCAGTCACGTAAGTATTTCAAAGAGAGAAAGATAAAATAATCTTTAAGTTCATCAAATTATAAACCGGTGATCATACTTATTTTTAACTTTGGCATTGGAGTATGTGTGCAGGTATCCAATAACTGCTCACAGTAAAGATAGGATTGTGACTGAAGCGGATAACTGCTCAGAGTAAAGATAGGATTGTGGAAGAACAAGGAATGTTTCACCCACACTTATTTTATGTTTCTCACTAAATTGATATCCATAGAAAATATCATATTATTACTCATACATATTTTCTTTTCTATTTGTATATATTAAGAGGCGTGAAGTTACATCCAAAATATTTTCATGAAAAAAATTATAATTAATCATGAAACTAAATTTGTGAAAATATTCTTTGAGTAATTTTTTTTATAGTGTACATAAAAATAATATTTTTTAAAAAGTATAATTTTCATTTATTTTTCAAGACAATGAATAATTTGGTTTAAATATAAGATTTTGTATACTTTTAGTATATAGTAATTATATTATTTAATTTTTTGTTTGTTTTTTATTTTTTATATTTTAAAAATTTAATTTTAATATTTATAATTTTTTTATCAAGTATAGTTAATATCATATTTTTAAATAAAATAAAAAGTTATTTTGATTTATCAAAAACATAAAATGATTAATACTTATTTAAAAAGTTAAAATACGCAAGTACCACTTTTTATCAAAGGGCGGGGTGGGATATTAGTGTTATTTACCATCGCATAAGCATCTCTCCTTTGGAATCAATTTAATATAATTTATTTAACTTTTATTTATTACAAAAATAAATTTTTAAGAGTAAAATTTATTATAGATATTAAATATGTTATTTTTATGTGTACATAACAATTTTTTTAATATTAAATTATTTTGTCCAATTTTTAATAAACCATTAAATTCATAATAACATATTTATTTTTATTTTTAAGTAATTCTTGCTAATGTTTCTCTTAAAAATATTTTAAGGAATCAATACAATTATTATTTTATTATTTTTAATCATAAAAACTATAGTATAAATAAATTTAGTTAATTTTAGTAACAATTATTTAAATAATTGTACATAACTATTCACCTTGTAATGCTAAAAACATTTTTCGAAGGACTAGTCTAAATCAAGTTATTGCAAGATGAGACAGTACATTGTTAAATTTCAAAACAAACCATAACTAGTTATTCAAATGCAAAATTTATTAGAGAAATTATATGCCATTATCGTATGGGAATTGAATGGTTTCCACACTCTTATATAATATAGAGATACCTCTTTCTCTTTCAGTTTGTGTTCCAATTCATTCAACTATTAAATCAAAAGATGAATAAAATTCTTAGATTTCTCAGCTACGTAGCAACTCTCACACAACACAGGCACACAAGTTTATTAGTTATGTATATATCAGCAGACCAAGTTCAATGATTATTCACATGATGGTGCAGGGTGCATGAACGTTGTCATCACTGAAGAGAAAGACTGTGTCATCCTGGACAGTACAGTATGCTTGATCTGGAAAATAGCCATAAACACTCTCATTGTAACCATGCCTGTAGTAGTTATAGGATGAAGCAAAAGTAGACTCATCCAAGTATTGGGAGGCATAAGGGTAGTATTCACTGTCATAAGGGAATGGCCAATATTCTGCCTTTCTTCCTGTTCTTCTCACAATCCTTAATACCTTCCCTTTCTCCACATACCCTGTTACTGTCACCTTCTGCTGATCCATGTCTATGTCCAAGCTATCAACCCCTGCATGCCAAATCTCACACCATCAACCCTATAATTGACTAAGTTATACTCATTGTTTTCTCACTCACTTCATTTATGGTCAAAGAAAAGAAGGAAAAGAAGAAGAGTAGGATGGATGGAAGATGTAAATAAATTGGATTGAAAATGTAAAAGATAATTGGGTGAGTTTTCTTCGTTATTTTGGAGTGGCACTATTTCTATCATTAGTTAATTTAATTTATTTCAAACATATTGTTGTGGTGCATCTCATTGTGTATCCCACATGTTAAGATAAAACAAATGCATGCATGGTAGGTAGAGCTCTTGCCATTCAATTTGGAGATTGCCCTTCTAATTCTTTCTTCACATCCTTGGCAATCCATATGCACCTTAAGTTCTACGATCTGCAACAAATAAAGTTCAAAGTGGAACTAAACCAGTGAATTCTTCTGATGATGAGTATTTAAGCATTATCAGGAAAATAATTGGCACTTACTGACAAAGCATTCGGAACTTTCTTTTTCCGAGGTCTCCACCCAAACATGTTATGCATGTTTCAAGGACTAAGGATGCTTCTTCATTTATATATAATAAGATCTCAAACAGCAAAGCATTTCCAAGTATTTACATCAACCTTTGCACTAAAATTTACATTATTTAATATACATACATATATATATATATATATATATATATATAGAGAGAGAGAGAGAGAGAGAGAGAGAGAGAGAGAGAGGCATATGCTGCCACCTACAAGATAGATAAGCCACTGTGCAATTTCATCGTATGCATGGTATTATTAATGAAGATAGGAATTTTGAAGCAATAAATTAAGATTTTGGAATATGGTGAGGAATACTGAGATAAGTAGTGGAGGAATCTATGCTTAATTTTATTCTCTCTTTTGTCTGGTAGAAGTGTGTTTTTATTGGACACAAATCATCTGTCCTTTTTTTCGTGTCTTAATGTTTATTATTTTAAAAAATATAACTTTTATTAAAATTAATAAATTATCATTTGTTTTAATTTTCTTTATAGAATTCTTTTTGTTAGACAAAACAAAGAAAATACTTTTTTTTAGTTGCCTGTATTTATTTTATTTGTTGGATGAGAAAAGTGATACTCAACCCATGCACTACTAAAGTAATATTATTTTCTCAATTTGAGTAGAAATTTTACATTGATTATAGAATTAATGTACAAAAATGGTCGATGGATTATTATAAGCCAATGAAAAATATGCATGTTATTATTTTACTCATGTAAATTATGTGTATATTTTATATTGATTAATATATAATTGACATTAAATTTTCAAAAATATGAAATGTGATTCATAGAACTTACGTTTATTATGATTATAACTAACTTAGATTGTTCACTATTTATATGTATATATGAAATATGTACATATTGTTAGAATTAATTTAATTAATTAATTCTATTATGTGACTCATATAAAATATAATAATAGACCCAAATGTGATTTAATAAATTAAAAGGACATATTGGTTATTATGTGAAGTCAGAATAAAATAAAGATAAAATAAAATATTAACTTACGGTAACCAACTTGATGGACGTTGGTTAATAAAAAGGATTAGAGTTCTGTCTCTGGCCATAAGATTTTTTTCGCGGTAAACCATCAAGAAAGCGAAGCGTGAGAAGAGAAAGAAAGGTAAAGAGATAGATTGAGAAAAGGAGATTGGATAACGAAAAGATTGAAGAAAAGATTCTCATGGATCAAGGTTAATCTTCTTACTATGATTCATATATTTATGTATGTAAAATTGTGAAAATCAATAATCTAAAGATCCTGTAGAGTAGTTTTCTATAATGAATTAAGAACGTAGGAAAACTACATTGTAAGTTTACATGTGGTATCAGAGCAAGTTATTAGATTTATGATTTTCCTCTTATGATAGTTTTTTCCAAATTAAGTTTTTCTCAAATTAAGATTAACCCTAATTATGAATTTAGGGATTTCTCAATCAGATTAGCATGAACCCTAATTTATTCCCATAATATGTTTTTCCCAAAATTGAATGAAAAGATAAGCCCTAATTTATGGATAAGGCTGCATTTAATTTCTAATTGAAATCAATTTGATAATTTATGTGTTTCAATGGTTATGCAATCTTTTTAATTGAAAAGAAAATTTAGGTATTTTAGTGTTTGGCGTCAATAATAGTTTTTATAATGTAATTAATTTCGCTGCAATTAATTAATGATGGATCAAGTTGACGGGACCTAGGCAATTGAAGGAATTCACGTATGTGTTGCCTTACGTGTGCCAGTTGCATATTAGGTGCACTAACGTGCAATTGAATTGCAAACATGCTTAGAGTTGCCTTAAGTGCGCCACTTGCATATTAGGTGCGCCAACGTGCGTCAGTTGCATATTAGGTGCGCCAGTTGCATAAAATGGGAATAAACGTGAATGTATAGTTTGGTAATTTGATTTTATTTCCGTGGCATTTGTCTTATTATGAATGTTGGCCGCTGCAATTGATTTAAATTGCAATATAAATTTGAAACGTAAATGTTAATGTGGAGGCCAAAATGGGATACGTGAATGAATTATGTTTTCTTATTGCTAAAAATAATAATAATAATAATAATAATAATAATAATAATAATAATAATAATAATAATAATAATAATAGAAAATGTTATAAATTATTAATAGCAATTAAAGTTATTATTTATTTGAAATTAAGTATGATAAATTTTGTTAGTCACCAAAGTGGCCAAAATTTTAAGGTTATTTTAATTTCAAATTATTAATGGTTTTATTCCAATTACCCATAGTATGAACGCTAAAATTATGAATTTGGTTTATGGGTTAATTGAAGTTTATTATTATAAGACATTTCAGGATCACCCAAAGGTTGATTAATTGTTATTATAATTAATGAACATGAAAGTAGATAATTTTGTGTGCGTCACTAGTTTTATTTAAATATCCAAAGGTATTAGGTGATTCTAGTTGATACATATTTTAATTATCATTAATATTATAAAATGATTAGCATAATTATGTTTGTGTATTGGTAGATCTCCCAAAGGAGAACATTAGTATGCAGAGAATGGTAATTTATGGTTGAATCTGTATTTATGTTTAATTTTATGACTCAAAGTATTAATGTTAGGCATGTGTTAATTGCAGTATCTGTTCCTGTAGCTCTACATTCGCTATCTTCGTCTGTTCCAGTCTTTAATGGGTTAAATTTCCCTGACTGGAGTGAATTAGGTGTGTTGGATCTTGATTTGGCTTTCTAAGTTGAAAAACCGGCTGCTATCACTGATGCTAGTAGTAATGAAGACAAAACTCATTATAGAGCTTGGGAAAGATCAAACAGACTTAACCTTATGTTTATGCGAATGAGTGTAGCAAGCAATATTAAGTCTGCTCTTTCCAAAACTGAGGATGCGAAAGAGTTTATGAAATTTATAGAAGAGCGCTGTCAAACTGCTGACAAATCCCTCGCTGGTAGGCATGGCAACAGGGCGGGGGCGGGTTTTGCCTCCCCGATCTCCGCCCCCGACTTTTTTAATCATCCCCGCCCCGATCCCCGCCGAGGTTAGAAATTAAGTCCCCATCCCCGTCCCCGATCTATATTATTTTTAAAAAGATAATTACATTTATAATAAATTAATTTTACTATCTATTTTTTATATATAAATAAATATTTATAATTTTATAATTTATAATAATTATTAATTAAATATACATTTTAATTTATTATATTTATATTAAAATATGTATGTAAAAGAAATATTTAATCATTTTTTATTTATATCATTATTATTATTATTATAATACTGTATTCAAACATTTGATTATATATATATATATATATATATATATATATATATATATATATATATATATAGTTAATTCATTTTTAAGTTGTCATTTAAAAATATGAAATATATAGTTTATAATGAAATATTTAATAAGTTAATTATTATTCAATTAGTTCAAAGTAATAAAAGTTTAAATTATCAATTCCTTTAATCTTTTAAAATACAATTATTTTATTAAGATAAAATTTGATCTATGATAAATAAGAATAGTAAGATAAACAAATGACATAATAAAACCTAATAAATATAAATTATAAATAAAATAATATTAGTTACTATTAATATTTATGTAAAATATTTAGAAAAAGATAAAGAATAAAAAAATTAATTGTGTTCATCAAATTGATTGAAAAGATTGAAAAAAAAAAAAATTGATGAGAAAGATTAAGAAAATATGAAAAACTGCAAGGTATAAGAGAGAATAATGTAATAAATTAATTGATATAAAAGATTAAAAAAGACAAAAAAATTAAAAAATTAAAAAATAGGTTGAAGAAAAATAAAAATTGGTAAAATATAAAAAAATGACCTTATATGTAATAGAAAAAGAAAAGAAAATACTTTTAAAATATTAATATTTTAAAATTTAAATTTAAATATAAAGTCGGGCAGGGTCGGGGTGGGGATTGCATTACCCATCCCCGCCCCCGCCCCTGACTTTTTAAAGCGGGGAAAACCCGAACCCGCTCCCGCCCCCGGTCAACTCGGGTTTTCCCCGTCAAACTCGGGGCGGGTGCGGGTCGGTCCCCACGGGGACGGGTTTAATTGTCATCCCTACTCGCTGGGACATTGATGAGTACGTTGACCACCATGAAGTTTGATGGTTCTCGTAGTATGCATGAACACGTAATCGAAATGACAAATATCGCAACAAGACTCAAGTCTCTTGGAATGACAGTGGAAAAAAATTTTCTTGTGCAATTCATTTTGAACTCGTTACCGCCTGAGTATGGTCCGTTTCAAATGAACTATAACACCATGAAAGACAAATGGAATGTGCATGAATTGCACAGTATGTTAGTCCAGGAGGAGACCAGACTCAAGAACCTAGGAAGTCACTCTATTCATTACGTGAAAAATCAAGGAGCTAAAAAGAAAGTTGTTAAGAAACATGGACAGGGTAAAAGACCATTAAAGATTAACGAGTCCTCTACTAACATTCAGAAGAAAAATGACAAATGTCATTTCTGCGGGAAGTCTAGACATTTTCAGAATGACTGCTTAAAGCGTAAAGCTTGGTTCGAAAAGAAAGGTGAGCATAGTGCTTACGTATGTTTTGAATCAAATTTAACTAAAGTTCCCCATAATACTTGGTGGATTGATTCTGGATGTACGACTCATGTTTCTAATGTGATGCAGGGATTCCATTCACCCCGAACCATAAACCCAAATGAGAAGTTCGTCTTCATGGGGAATAAAGTCAAGGTTCCAGTGGAAGTTGTCGGGACTTATCGTTTAATCCTTGACACTGGATATCACTTAGACCTTATGGATACTTTTTATGTACCTAGTATCACTAGAAATTTAGTTTCTTTGTCTAAGCTTGATGTTGTTGGATACTCTTTTAAGTTTGGGAATAGTTGTTTCAGTTTATTTAAGCGTACATGTATGATTGGAACTAGTACACTTTATGATGGTTTATATAAATTGAATTTGGATAATTTATATGCTGAAACTCTCATG